TGATATATATTTCTGAACCATTATTATATTACATAACCATTTCTAAAATCCAAATAAGAGAAGTTAAAGCTGTAATCCTATAAGTCAACTCTAATTCCAAACCTACTTTTATCCTCTCTTTTTCTTGATATTCCTTAGGGGTAGAAAGTCTGAGAGTAAGTCAGTGTTCGTAGAATCTTACCCATAAGCCAACTGAAACTTTAATGTAATCCCCCACAATAAAATTGATATTAAAATATGAGCTAAGTTAACTTGAACTTTAAACTTAACTCCCCCCCCGCCCAATAAAATTGATCTTAAAAACACTTGTGTATTATGAATATGAATAGTAAAACCAGAAGGAAAGCCAAAAATGTAAAAATTATTTCACAGAGGATTGTTTAAGGGAATAGTGATACAAAGGATATCGAGACTCAGGTTAATTGCCATGATCAAAAAGTCTGCCTTTGCGGGTGGAACGTGCTTTTAAGACTGGACGTTCTTAGGTAGTTCCCACCCGTTTTCGCCACGGAGATACGTGTCAATTAATTAGCAATAAATTATCTGACAGTTTCCGTCGGGCTGCTACGCGAATTCAACTTATGTGTGTGCTGGTGCCCAGCTCACATCCGTTTTCGCTAGGGACGTACGTAGCAATTAATTCTAAATTGTGGCAAGTAATTAGCAATTAAACATTTGATATGTATATTTCATTCCGGTGCACTGACATGGCTGTTCCAGCTTGACGCACCTTTGTAAGCCCGGGAATCTAAAACAGAGCGCAATTAGTATAACCGAGCTAGCAAAAACTTACCGCGCTTTGTAATGCTGAGATATAAGTTTTATGAAATCTGTTTAAGCAATTCAAGTTATTTGTATTAGTGGTAAATATTTTTAACCGCACTAAGTCTGTACACCTCACAAAACAAATTTTATATTTTGTTTTTCCACACGCTTTTGTTGTTTGTCCACGCGCTTAAAAAAGTTCATTAATTGCCAATTATTTCATTAAAACTTCTAATAAACATTGCATAAAATCTGCAGGTTATGGAATAAATTACGTACTTACAAACTAGCTTTCGTTTTTAGTAATTGTTGTACGTAATTTAATCCATAACCTGAAGATGACAGTGTATGAAAGTTGTTGAAACGTGTTAGTGTGAAGGATGTATTAAAAGAAAATGTTAAAATATTATTGTGTTTTGCATATTAACTAAAGAAGAGGGGTCATTATAGTTAAAAAAATTGCGTATAATTTTTTTGATTAATATAATGAGTCTTACCATTAACTCCAATTGTCCATCGCGCAGCGAAGAACCACCTTGAGCTCGGTCTGTCAGAACACAAAACTCCAGGTCTGTGTTATAATCTCTTAGCACAATGCTGTTAGTGACAGGATAATAATTGCCTGCAGTGCGGTCTTCTAGCTCGAAATGGCGTGTTGGAAGATCATTTCTGTTTCTTTTTATCAATGTATGTCCGTTGGAGTCAGTGAAGAAGGTTCCTTCTGATTGTAGATTAGTTGTGTATTTCACAATCACTTCTTTCCCTTTGTTGTCACTGACAATAGAAGTAATTTGGCTCTTAGTTATTCCATTTCATTCAGTCTCTATGCTTATACATTTGTCATCATTGAAGTAAAACACATTAAGCCAAAAATATAATAATTTAAAAATAAGGCAAAGTATTTTAGGACAAGAATGAGATTTTTACAATTGTTGCAATACTCACTCAGTAGGTACAGGGCCCACTAACCATTCCACTTCAGTATACAACTCATCATCATAAATGCGGACCACATGACTAAGCCAGTCACTGAAAACTTCATGTCGTTCTGACACCAGTGGACCTACGAATTTAACATTCACAAATTTGTTATCATCGTATTAGTTACTTTTAAAGATTTTAATGTATCTCAAAATTTATTTGGAAAATAATTTGAAGGGAGTGGAATAACAATATGTGTATAATATAATAACTAGTTTTCTTTGTCCAGTTTTGTTTTAGATAGTCATATATTCTATGAATACCAAAAGGTTAGTAAAAAGCTGTAATTTGGATTTGAAAATTGATTTGAAATGTATTAATTTAACTTTCTGAATCATTACTCTCGACGTTTTGAGAAGCATTTTTCCTCTTCTTCTGGAGTCTATTTGAATATAAAACAGAAATACTTCTTAGTCCAGTCAAAAGGTATCTGACCCAGGAAAAAAATCTGGAAGTTTTTTTCTCAACGGTTCTATATGTTTCAGAGGCTGAATTCGAACTTGATGTTTGCCATTTCGAAAAAGGTCGGCTTCACAAAGAAAATTGAAATACATCCTTAAATAATTGCTTGCATGTTTACGTAACTTCAGTGCTCTGGCTGTGCTCCAATATTTGACTTAAATTTCACTACTTTTCTACATATTTCAGGTACCTTTTATTGTTAATTTTTTTTTACTTGTTTATTTGCTACAGATATGCCGAAAAGAGATTTATATTGTCCCAAGCAGTGGAAAAGAAGTAATACGGATATTGGTTTAAACACGGTTTAACGGGCAAACTTGTATTTGAACGAGTTTAAAGTCTGCCAAACTTTTCGCAACAATTTAATTTAGATTTGCGTTAAGTGTTAAACTATTAGTGAAAGTGTTGTGATAATTATCAAAAACATCAAAACTCAGTCTCTATAACATAGACGGAAAAACTAAACTTCGTGTGGAATATAAAAGTGATGAATTTGGTGTCCTTTCAATAGATAAAGTATAGTAATCTAATTGTATTTATTAGTTTGCACCTTAGATCTATTAATTTAAACACATTGAAATTCTTTCGCATTTAACTAATCAATTACATTTAAATATCATATTTTATTTCTGCATGTTCCATTTATTTGTGAAATTAGCCTTGCTTGTCTGTATGATGTTCTGAAAAAATAATAGTTTACTATTTCATTTTTTTTCGAAAAACTAACGTACGAACTTGGCAGCAAAGATGAAGCATTGAAATATTGTCTGTATTCGAAACAAGTAATAGTTTTCCAGAAAGAATGCCTTAAAAGAACTTTCATAAAACCACAACAATGCACCTGAAAAACAGCTCTATTTATGGCTAAAACCGGCTCTTTTAACAAGAATTGATAAGAAAATATGTGCGCATTATTGGCAGCGGCCACCGCTAAATGAGCAATTTGTTGTCAGCGCTCATTGACTGAGATGTGTTGATATAGACAGAAATGCCATATAATATTATTACATATCCGTTACTAAGGGATCAGAAAGTATGTGCTGTTTAAGCTTCACTAGTTTTAAATATTGGGACTGACTTAAAATATTTTTTTGCGTTTTTATTGACTAGTAACTAAAAATGACTTAAAACATATATATTGTTCTGCTTCGTAATGGAAATCAATACGCCTCAGTACAACAGATAGGAAAACGTGGAATGACTTTAAAAAATTAATTATGAAGAACACCAATCGATTGTGCGCGGAGACTTGAAAATTATTGGAATATTGTTGGGACTTCAATTAGGATTTTCTACGTTTCCCTGCTTTCTAAGTGAATGGGATAGCAGGGTTTGTGAATTGAACTAGGTCAAAAGGGATTGGTCAATCAGAAATACTTTGAATCCTGAAGATAAAATGAAATAAGAAGTTCGATTAATCGTGAAATATTATCTAGACAAGGCGATCTAGGAAATTCGATAGTTTGGCTTCAAAACAACGTACAAAACAACGCATCGACATCTTCTCGAAAGCCATTGTCAACCTGAGTACACAACACCACAGTTGCTATCCTCGCGAAAGGACTCAATTTCGCCTCAGCACCTAAGGAAATATAGTCAGCATGTCAAACTGATATATATTTATATAGATAGTATATTCATAATATCTTCAACTTCATAATTGATAAACTAATTGACAGCGTAAAAAGAATGGAAGGCTGCATGATGGGTAAACATAAGTATAGTCTAGTAAGTATTTCCTGATAAGTAAACATAAACATAATCTATTATAATGAATATGTTAACGTCTGTTATAATGTGTATTTTATTGTAAGTTTCTTGATCTTACTAAAACAGACTAAGTTTCTTATATTACAATTTATTTCATGTTATATTTTTACATTGGATTTTATAAATCCAAATTTGTGAAAATTAGGAAAAAATAATGCAATAATCACATCACACGAATGCGCGGTGGTAGCCATGACTGGTGATGATAGCCAAAGATATAATACCATTAGGATTGAGAAACCGTTGAAAGCCGCAGAAGAGATGAAAAGATATGCAGTCAACATCTAGTGAATTCCTGGGATGAAGCATGAAGAAAAACAGGTGTTCAACCTCCTTAAAGGAAATAGATGACTTCAAAAAATTGCGTGAAAGTACGTGGTATCGTTGTATCTCTAGTTTTGGTATTAGGGAGAATCGCATCTCTTCGCAGATCATACTGCGTGTGGAGAAAGTACTAGTTCATATTCATTATTTATATTATCGGATGAAAACTAGCGTTGTCAGGGTATTTATTTAGCACAATTGTATATTAGACAGCCCTGCCCGTCTCGCCCACAATGCCCATGCAGTGCGCATTACTCGCGGTGTGTGCATTGGGGGGCTGCATAATGTTTTTGTTTGTAAATGTCACTTCTTTCAAATTCTCATTTCTAGGAGTGTCAAGAATCTGCACGATCAAAAACTCGTAAATACACAATTATCTTTTGCTATGCTTTCCACTCCTCGTTTTGCATGTTATTTTAAAAATACATAAGGAAAACACTTTGCCCGTCCTCGAAATGCCGGGCGAAGGACGAAATCCTGGCAAAATGGTTAGTACATACGCCCTCTGTCCCTGGTGCAAAACGTGGAATTTGTGATGAACAAATCGAGCGATCTCCTTCTTTGTATTAATGAGTTTAAATAAAGCCGTATCATCTTATGACTCTGAAGTATGTTACTTTAAAAACGTTTTTATGTTAATACCTATTTAAAATTACTGGTATGTTAATAATTCCTCTAATAAATTCTCTGTGAAGAAACTACTTACCTTTGTACGTTCTGAATGAACTTCTTGGGGGTACAGTCTTCGGCTTGGCAGAATTCGGACGAAAAATATATCCTCCATCTGCGTTGTGGAAATGAGGTGAAATACCGGATGTCTCATAGAAATGATACGATATTTCTGCTCGAAAATTCACACCTTGTGTACTCAGACTTCTTAGGTCACCAAAACGATTTCCCTTGTAATGATGATTCTAAAAATATTTAACATTAACAATGTGTTGCAAACAAAAATATTACAAAAGAGATACAACTTCGAATACTGTAAGCAAAATAAATATAAGGGACCCCTCACGTTCATTCTAATTACTATCAGAATATATATATATATATATATATATA